GAGGCCGCTGAGGGAGCCTGTGAGGCGGCGGCAGGAGCGGGGCTGGGCGCTCAGGGGGCTGCCTGAGGAGAAAAGGAGGGTCCTGGGGCTCTTCTGCCTCAGGCTGCTTCACCTTGGCTCATCTCATCTCAGCGGTCCGCACTAGCCCAAAAAAGTACAAAGTTTTGCAGCAGAAAAGCCCCCGGTGCTTGGGTGGAGGCTGAGGTGGGAAGATGGTGTCCTCTGGGCGATACGAATCCCCCTCGCTCTGCTGAGGGAGGACTGGCGTGCAGCATGGCGGGTGGCGTTGAAGGCTGAGGAGGAGGTTCACCATGCTGTGTGTGCCTGGGACAGCCTGATGTGAGGTAAGTGACACACGGCTCTGCTTCGGGAGGCCTCTTTCCTCCCTTTCCTCTCTCTGCTCCCTGTCTCCCCAACACTAATCCTCTGTTGCGTGAGCCTGACTGGGTGTTGCAGTGTAGCACCCAAGGAAATGGAGTTCCAGGTCAGATTTTTTCTTATGGGGACTGGACCTTGCTGAGCTTTGTAGCCGATGCACCTCTTGCTAGGGGCTGCAGTATCCCCTGCGATATAACCGGTGACTGTGGCCTACAAGGGAGAACACAGCTCCACTGAGGAGCCTGCTCTGGAGTTACCCAAATTGGTGGTCTGTGAGGCTCACTGACACTCTCAAATCTCTGATTTTTATGTACTGTTGTATTATTATTTTTTTCCCCCTGAGGAACAAACTTTCTGTAGGAATAGAAAGCCCGTTTTCTGGCTTGTTCTTCCCTAGTGTTCTTTTCCCAGACTCAAGATGCAGATACGTAAGGAAGTTGCACAACCCACTGTCTTTCCTTCGCTCCTTCCTTCTGATTTCTTTAGGTCAATTATATTGTTATTTTAGCTGTTTTGTGCCTGTTGTTGAAGTCCCTTTCCTTTACTGATACATGCAAGGGATGTAAATGGCCCTTTGCTTTCCCAGTACTATCACAAGATGTGCTAGTGTGGCAGAATGAATCCCTGGGTTTGCCTGCAGATATTTAGCTGCATTTACCTGGGTTAGAGGATGTTGTTAGTGCACGTGCGCAGGTACTGACAGTGCTGCAGGCACAGGCTCAGTTGCTGGGAGAGGCTGGACTGGGAGCAGGCACGATCCCAGCCCTGTGACCGCTGAGCTGCCTGCCTGTCAGCACTGCCGTGGGCTGCTGGAAAACCTTCAGGACTCTGTGTGCCTACAAAGACAGAACAACTGTTGACTTTGGTTTCACTTCCCTGGGGAGGCAGAAGGGGTCCTGACTTTGCATCATTAAGTCTTGGCACATGAAAGGTAAAAAGCCTTTTTGGCATCATTTGCACCTGTGAAGAATGTGACCAGCCGTAGCAATGTGATAATGAATTGCACTGAGCGCAGAGTGATTTGTATGCCATGGCAGCATGTCCAATCCATAAATCTTGGCTTCTCCTGGCTCAGAAAGCTGCACGTCACAGATGCTTTCTTGCTCCACTGGCCTGCAGAGGATCTGCTGTGCTGCTGCTGAAGGGAGGGACTGTCCAAGGCTGCACAGTGACTTCAAAGGGGAAGCAGTGGTAGAATATGACAAAGACAAATGCAAGCTATTAGCCTGCTTTGAAAATAACTTACTAGTATCAAGGCCTATCCAACACCTGGGTATGGAGGATTGTGCTACCAGGCCTGCTGGACAGGCTGCTGCATTGCCAAAGGTTCAGGGTGCTTCCAAGCAGCTCCTTTCTCTGAAAGGTATCAGATTAAAAAATTCTGGGAAAACCAAACCAAAGTGTGTTTGCAGCCTCCATGATGCAGAGCTCCAAACCTGAGGTGTCTAAAAAGCAAGTCAACACTTCCTAAGTGAAGGACCGAATGGTTGGTAGATGACCTGGGGGAAAGCACACTGGTTCTTCCTTCTTTCAAATGCCCTGTTTTTCAGGTATCTGCATGGTGACTCCTGTGTGCTTTGCAGAGTAAAAGAAGTCTTAAAAGCAAAGCAAGATGATTTTGGAGCCTAGAGAATTTTAGCCTGTAATCCCACAGAGAACCAGTTTTTCAGTCCCTGTACCTTATGGTGATAGTGGTTGTGTTTTGCTTCAAGATTGCTGCAGGTGCTTGTTTACAGATTGTCTGGGTTCACGTGGCACCTAGGAACCTAACCCTGCTGTTTTAAATAGACTTTCATAGTTTCTGCACCCTCATACCTGGGATGAAAATATCACATTTGTACCCATGAAGAACAACTTGTCATCCACTGCAGGGCTTTGGTCACTGTGACAGGCTAATTCTGTGCAACGGTTGGAGATTAAGCAGTGCTTGGAGATTGTGTGGAGGGAGAAGCATGGCCTATCCCTGTCTCATGTAGTCACAGCTCTATGCTATGTGTGTGCTCAAGTGAGAACGTTCAATGGATGCCTTGGTGGCAGCCTCATCTGGGATTTGTTGCATTGCTTATAAATTGAAAAAGACATTTTTCATGGTCATTAGTATGAGGCTACCTGGTCTTCTTCAAACCCTTCATTTCCCTTCAGGATTGAAGTATGCAGGGCATCCCAGAGAGAGTGCCAAGAAAAGCAGTGTTGGTTTCACATCATGGGACATCTTGTCTGTCCTAGGGTACATGGGAGAAGAACTATTTTAGAAATGGTTAGAAATGGCTTTTACTTTTTTTATGTATTTGTGTATGAAAACTGAGGCTCCTTCAGGCTCATAAGCCTGATTTTAGAGGGCTTTAATGGAGAGCACATGGTCTAATTTAACAGGTTTCTGCAAATGATTAGTTATCTTGTGTAAATGCCTTGAAAGCAGCAAGTTGCAGTGTTAATATTTGTTCTGAAGACAGTATGTGTGTACATATTGTATGTCTAGATAAAGGTATGTGTTCCCTGGAAGGATAGGATAGAGCGCTGCTGGAGGACGTAACAGATTTAAGTGGTTTTAGTCAAAAAAAACCCCCAACCAAATCACCCTCTTAAATCTGCAAGTAATTTTTTTCCTGTTTCTTTACGTGTCTCGTGGCCTGCTGCTGCTCTGAAATGTTTGTGACTATTGAGAACAGAACATGCTGGGAGGTATTTCTTCGTATTTCCACACAGGAGGATTAACCTGAGAGTTATGAAACCAAAATGCCAAGAATGCCCTCTATGAATACCTAATGGTTTAGGCTGTGTAGCACTGATCTGCCACTCTCACCTGTAATTGCTGGTGATCAGTTCTGACCTGCCCTGGCACAGCTGTTTGATGTCATATCAATGTCATTCATTTGTCATGGAAACAGAGCTCTGCTTATTGAATGAAGACTGTCTTTAGAGCCGTTACCCACGTTGACATGTAATTTGGGTTTGCTCGGAAGAGGGCAGCAAATAGCTTTTAATCTCCTGTTTGCTTTTACCGGTAAAATCAACGGGACATGTGGGCCTGGGAGAGGATGAAGGTGAGCGTGGTGTGTGTCTGGCCAAAGAGACTGACATTGATGCTCCAAATTTAGTTGCCTAAAGAGCAGACATTGCTTTTTGAACCTGTAACTACAGGTTTAAACAGTCCTTTTCTTGTTGGTGTTCCACATCAGACTG